AATACATGCTAAAGATGCAGCCTCAGTTGTATACACAGTTTTAGAAACATTAAATTCCAATCAGATTTCATTAAGAAAATATAGATCATAATGTTATCACAACTCTGCTGCGATGTTAGGTCACATAGCTGGTGTTCAAGAAAGAATTATGGGGAAAAAATAATCAAACATTATTTATAAACTGTGATGAACATTCACTAAATTTAGTAGGAGTTATTGCAGCTAAGCAATGTGCAGTCATTGTAACTCATTTTAGAATAATTGAAAACATATATCTCTTTTTCTCTGGTTCAGCATTATGATAGGAATTAAAAAATGCATTAAAAAAGCTGTTAAACATGAATTTGAAACAAGATGGAGTGCCAGAGTACAAGCGGTTAGTGTTACTATTGATGGGCTGGATGAATTAGCAGAACTATTAGAATAATTAGCAGAGGGAAGTTCTACCAAAAGTGAAGCTACAATTTTATTGCAAAATACACTGAATTATAATTTCATAATTTAAGTCTATTTCTCGCATGAACTCTTGAGAAGTGATAATGTGCAGCTCAGATCACAACATCCTAAAAATAATTTTAGGGAAGTGTTGCATGATCTTGAATCATTAGTGACTGAATTTGCAGAAATTCAAGATGAGACCCGTGAAGAGGCAAAAGAAAAGGCTAAATCTCTTTGTGAAAAATAATGTATTGATTTAACACTCCATTTTAGAAGATCAAAAATACCTGATAAATTCAACAGAGATGTTTGCCTTTCAGAAGAAAGTGAAATTTCTCGCATTATAAAAAGCATTCCTGATTGTCTGCAGCAGAAAATAAGTATATGATTTATGCAACAAAGTGATCTTAATAGCAAATTTGGATATTTATTGGCTGTGGAAAATTTGTCAACGGTGAAAATTTTGGAGAATTTATAATACAGATATTAATGGAACAAAGCTCTATGTTAAAATATACGATTGCAAGATATTACTCCACAGTGGTAAAGAAATTGAACCTACAACTTCATCACAGCTTTTTACCTTTATAATCTTGTATAGAAAAAATGTTTTCCAAACCCGGCAGTCTCATTTCAAATACTCCTTACTATTTCAGCATCAACTGCTAACTATGAATGCTCATTCAGCAATTTAAAATTAACAGTGGCATTTACGATCAACGATGGGACATCTCCTAAGTGACCTAGCATTTTTAAATGTGGAAAGAGAAAAATTTGAAATAATTGACTCTGATGAAGTAACTGATAAATTTGCTTCATCAAAGGCAAGAAAAATGTATAGATAGTAATTAATTGTATTAATGTATTACAGTATTAGCATTAAATATAGCTACTTACATATAATATATATGAACTTTTTTATTGTTTAAAAATTGTATTTTTTTCAAACAATTATGTAAATATGTAAAATAAATATCTTTTTAATAATTCTAGATGAGCATATGTCTGATTTTTCCACTGACAGAGACACATTTAAAAATCCAATCCTAGTCTTGATTGTATTTAAACTAGATTTCTTGTTTAAAATTTAAAGCTTCACCTGAGCCTGTTATTCTGAAAAACTTTATAATATTTATTCCGAAAAACTGTACAGCACTTCGTAGAAGTGTAGTTAGGTGGTACCCATTCATAATATATTATAGAGTATTTTTAGGCTGATGCTGCATTTGATTATTATTTGTAATATATTCTTATTACTAATATATTCTGTATATATAAATATATATTTTTGGGGAAGGCACCAGAAAGGTATCATGCCATGAGTGCCAGTTATGCTTGCTACACCACTGCTGGGCCAGCTTACTATATTTCATGGTGTTGATGATGATCACAGCTATAAATTGAAAGCTTTTCCGATACCAAAAACAAAAAGCAAAATGTTCAAACTAATGGAATTTTGGGAGAAATAATCAATGAAGATGATACAACAAAAATTTTCCCTTGCAAAGACAATGCCACAATCATTAATCATGTAACAGATAGCAAATTCCGTAGTACAGATTTAAATTAAAAACACGTCGCTACCAATAAGAAACAAAAAGGTTGTTCAGAATGAAAACATTTTGGTTGCCTGTTTAGTAAGGAATTCTCAACATGGCACTAGCAGGGCTTGAACAACTCACCTTTATAGCTGAACAAGAAATTAAGGCTCTGTATAAAATTGATTTTTTTTAATAAAATTTCAAATAACAACCTAAATTTTATTTTATTTTTAAATTTCACTGATTAAATATTTATAAAAACATATAATAATAATAATGATGCAAAGGAAAAAATTTAAATTTATCATGTTTATTTTCTATCTGTAACAAATTTCTGTTAGTTAAATTTCATAGATCAAATGTACTAGCAACTAAATATTAAACTGTTGGATTGACATTTATTTCAATAACTCTAATATTTTGAATTAACCGCTAAATAGCTTACTTTTAACGTAAAATAAAAATTTATGAAAACTTGCCAAATTTTCACAAAAAAAACTTCTCTAGAGAAACAAAACTTGTGAATAAATACCAACAATTTATGCTCTTTCCTTTATGAATTAAATATTTTATCAACACACAGAGAAAAAATTACACGGATTTATATCTAAATACATATTATGGTATGAAAATAATTAAATATTTTCCAATTATTTACTGTCACTCAATATCTGATGGCGTTTCAAATCTGTTAACACTTGAAGGCTTGGAGAAAAATTACTAGAAACAATCTTCATCAAGGATTGTAAATCTTCATTGGTCAATCAGACTGTTTTTAAAGTTGTTAATTTTCAACTAACTAGTGACTGATTCAATGAAAATAAAAGTACAAACTCAACGGGGGGCGGCGGGAAGAAGACATATGAAATTATTACCAACGTTGGGCTGAAGAATCAATTTATTATGATTGTAGCGAAGTCCCATCTTATTCTAGTCATGCGGCCTAGCATACAAGCATACAAAGACTGTAATTTTTTTCATTTAACTGACAGCATAAGCCTATCCTTTCTATAAATTCATTAGCAATTGCCCAATATAAACACAATCCATATGTTTCTAATGTTGTTTATAATTTCAATTATGATTTCCTGAAATGCAATGACTATGTTCTTTTTTCTGTTGGCTTCTTTACTGGATTTGCCACAGCACTTGTTATAAATGCATTACATATGTACTCTTGGCTGTGTGTCAGCATTTGCGTTGAACTCAATTGGAATGTAATGAGAGCTGAAACATTTGCTAGTGCTTTCTATTTTCTTAAACACTGCATTAAAATCCACTGCTCAATGAATTTATGCTATATCAAAAACTGTAAGCACTGTATTAAAACAAATACATAAATATATTGGCAGCCCACATTAATTTGCTTCAGGGGCAAGAAGCGGCCTGCATGCCGTCAGTTTGAGACTGCTGACCTGCGAACAGAGTCACTGAAGTCTTCACAATTCCAGATCTCTGATTTTGTACTGCAATATATTTATCATATATTTCTCTATTAAAATAATTTTTTTCTATATATTTAACATGAAATACTCTATAAACATGAAAAGACAAAATAGAAACAAATTTGAAAAAAAAAAAAAAAAAAAAAAAGCTTCTATGTGCTTTTTTGAGTTTGTTTTTATTTGGTCTGGCTCTTTGCGTCTAAATTTAGTGATTTTTCCTCTATTCTGAAATCTGGAAAATTCCACACAATCTTAGATGTTTGGATTTTTGGTCTCTCACTATACTTATTTATATTTAGCACATGATATAATAACTAAAAATTGTGAGATTACCAGATCTGATAAAGCTCAGTAACTATTTCAAATGGTTCAACTGTAGATACTTAACACGTTGACTGCTGTGGGAGAGTCCCCAGTGGCTGGCACTCGACTTGGCTACAGCGCCATGGGGGCCACTGGTGAATGGCAACGTGGCCAACAATAAAAATATGTAATTAAAAGTAAATATTGATAAAGATAAATTTTTAAATAATAACCATTGTTACTATAATGTTTTGAAGCATAATAGATCACAAATATTTAAATCTTAAATCGAAAAAATGGTCTGCAGCGCCTCGGGGGTGAGCGGTCACTCCCACCAGAAAAAATGCATTAAATGCGATTACATAACTCACCTTATCTTTTGTAGATAATATTTCAACATAGTATGAACATGCATCGAACAATAAAAAATTCATGTTGGTGCCATGGGCAAACCATGTAAAATGCGCATGGCATTCAACGTGTTAATACACAGAACTTAAGTATAAAAAAGTTAAGTAATAACACAAGTACGCAATCTAAAGTCTTGGTTACAATAACATCAAAAAGTAACCACTTTAAAGTTATATACAGCTAAGACCTTGCATAGAGTATAATTAAAACAAACAAGTTTTGAAAGCAGGCTTATCATACAGTTCTTAAGCTTTAATAGAGAGATTTGTAATTCACTGCATATTTTCAATAAAATTAAATAGGCAATTCCAAGCCTGTTCATTGAATTCCCCCAAAAGCTGGCAAAAATGAGAGAGATAGCAAATCAAATATTAAAAAGGAAAATACACTTCCTAATGATTGTACGAATAACATTAAGAGTAAGAACTACACTATAAAGATGAAATAAAAATCCATTATACATAATATTTGATAGTTTTACATGATAAGTATATACATATATATATTTTATGTTCCATTGCCTATTTTTTCTTACACATTCTAACTGTGGCATGTGTTTATCTGAAATTGCCTGCTCAGCTGACTAGCAGGACCCCTGATAAATGATACTCAATTATGCATTACATGACTCCCCACATCCCCATCAGGTGGATGTCTGCCTTGCCATAAAGCTTGCACTGAAACCGCTTAAAATGCTTATTATTTTTCTCTTTCGTTTCTTTACTTCTAGTTGAAGCTTCAAAAATGTTTCATCGTGAATATCATATTCCAAAACAACTATTTCCTTGAATACAGATGTTATTCACATCAAAATTGATTTGAAACAAAATTTCAGATATATGTAGCATTCAAAGATACTTACCAAAAGTTTTTTGCATGCTGTTTTCAGCAAATGGCTGTATTGCAGGAGTTTTACTTGCTGTAGTACAACCCTCAGTAGGAGTACTTAGTGAGGGAGTTGAAGAAGACAACAACTGATGAGTGTGGTTATATGATGTAGAATGGGCTGGTGTCGTTACAGTATGAGCAGTGGAACTAATAGAAAATATTGCTTGAAGGCCTTGTTCAATATTACTCTTCAAATTAACAGAAGGTACCAATGGTGTATGAATTTTTTGAAGTTCCAGCTTCAGGCCTTCAATATTAGTGGCAACAGTATGTCGACGAGAAGATATATTTTCAGTGGGTTGCAAGGATAATTTTGTAGCTTGAGACTGAACAGTTACCACTGGTACAGGTACAGGAGTAACAATAGAACAAGTATGAGCAGATGTTATTTGCAACTGAACAGATGTAGCTGCAGCAGAAATTTCACCGGTAATTTGCTCAACATCCCCTCTATTTCTCGGTGTTATGGAGGGAACAGAACATGTCTAAAATAGATTACACATATTAGTACATATAGCAGCTTATACACAAAACTTCAATACAATAATTAAAAAGTTTCTGAAGGAAAAATTTCTGAACTTTAACAGAAATATTACATTAAAATACGCATAAATTTTGAGACCACAGAGTTTAATAACAAAGGTTAACAACTTTTTATTCTTACATGTCTCATTGACCTCATCTCACTTGGTAATCTCACCTGCAAAAGTAATCATGATAAATTTAACACTGAAATTCCTCAACAACAGCATTACAGACTGTAAAAAAGTACAAGAACCAAAAAAAAAAAAAAAAAAAAAAAAAAAAAAAAAAAAAAAAAAAAAGGTATCCCTCATAGCAGAGGACAAAAGGGAAAGTTGAATATTTTGAAGCTTTTTCCAAGCACAGAATAATTTAAAACTGTATCATTATACTGCAAGAAAAATTAAATATGTATTTAATTTTTATACATAAATAAAAGTTTTTATTTATTGAACTTTCATAAATTATTAAATTACAAATTCATTAAAATAATAGCTAAAACCAGCTTTCCTCCCAAAATTCTACAAATTTTGCCGCCCAGTGCCTAATTTAACCCTTTTGCATCTAACATGTTATGCATGTCCCATACCAAATCAAAAAAATTGAGAGGGAATCGCATCTATTACAAACACATGAGTCTGTGTCCCACTCGAGTACTGGGACTTAGACTAAAGGTTTGCCCCCAATTTTGCAATGTTCTCTCAGTCAGTCTACATCCAGTGACACAGTGAACATGTCCTAACCTATAATTGCAAATCTGTTTATTGTTTTTTATGTTTTTTTTACTGTAAATTGATGTCTAAAAGTGTGAATTACTTTTATGGCATTGCCAATATATTTTCATTAATGTATTTGATGAAAACATTAACATCGGACATATACATCCCTTTCAAAATCTCATTGCGGTTAAATGCACCCCAGTCGGTTTTTGTTGCCTGTGTGCTCAATCAAAAATATGCATACGAGGTGAGACACAATAAAAGAAAAGTGTGTAGCTTGAAAAAAGAGTAGAGTTGCAATAACTGTTTTGGTGACGTCATCTCACACACTTCTCCTGTACATGTGGCTAGTTTCGACTTGACCAATCACACCAGTTGGGAGTACTGCATCATTGAATGAACATGTGCAACTGCATTCTGGCGGGAAAATGTCTAATGTAAAAACTGATAGCGAATCAACAACAAGTTTCTTGTGAAACTTAAGAAATCAGCCACAGAGGAAAAAGTTCAAATGTTAACTGAGGCTTATGGAGATGAAACTTTGTCTCGCACAATCAAAATTCATGGCAATGTTAACTGTCTTCTTCAATATAAATGGAATTGTAATGACTGAGTGGGTTCCCAGTGGTCAGACTGTTAATCAACATTACTATATTGAAGTACTAAAAAGACTTCATGAAAAAATTAGGGAAAAAAGTCCACAGTTGTGGACTGATGAATGGCTGCACCAGGACACTTCACCTACTCACACAGCTTTATCTGTCAAGTAGTTTCTAACCAGCAAAAACATTACTGTGATGGGGCATCCTCCTTATTCACTTGATTTGGCTCCCAGTGACTTTTTTTATTTCCTGAAGTTAAATCTTGCTTAAAGGGAAGCCATTTTACCTTAGTTAAGAAGATTCAGGCAAAACCGGAGAATCTCCTGATAGGCCTTCCAAAAACCTCACTCCAGAACTGATACCAGCAATGGCAGCACTGAATGCAAAAGTGTGCATATACTGAAGAGGACTACTTTGAAGGTGATAATGTCATGGATAACTCATTCTATAAGTACAATCATTTATTGGATCAGGCTCCTTTTTTTGGGAGGGGGTGTCGCACCTCGTATGTGTGTATATACACTGGTTATCATAAATAAAAAATTACATAAGAAAAAATTACAAAAATCAAGATTACTAAAAGAGTTACATGTAGAATTTTATGAAACTTACCCACAATATACAACACATAGTAAGGTATCAAATAATATAAAAAGAAATTACCAGACAAGTAAGGTATAGAAATTAGCCCATGTATAAAATGAACAAATCGAAGACGTCAGTTTGCTATAGGAAAAGTACTTTCAATATGGAATATGATCACCTCTAGAAGAAATGCAGCACATACAGACATGTGTGATGCTTTCAATTATGCAGTCTATCAGTTCCATAGAAAGCGAGAATCATTCCTCTTGCAAATCAGTTGCAAGCGTGGCAAGGATCTGAGGGGGCAGATTGAGAGCAGCTAGATGTCTCATTAAAGCATCCCAAACGTGCTCGATAGTATTCAAGTCCACGGATTGAGCTGGCCACTCCATGCGTATAATTGTTTCTTGCTGAAGATAATCATCTACGATTCAAGCCCTGTGTGGTCTTGCATTGTTGTCCTGTAATAGGAAAGCATCACCTATTGCCCCGGCATATGGGCGCATATAAGCATCAAGGATGTCATCTCTATAAACCTGAGTATTCACGGTTCTCCTTGGAAAGACATGGAGGTCTGTGCATCTACCCAAAGAAATGCCACTCCAAACACACACACTGCCTCTTCCATATGCATCTTTTTCACGGATGTTTGACAGATGATAACGGTTTCCAGGTCCTCTCCATATCAAATAAAGCTTACTATCGCTTTCCAGACTAAACCTGGAACATCCGTAAAGAGAAAAGCCCTACACTGATCAGGCGTCCAGTGGATATGTTGTCGTGCCCACTGCAAACGGTCTCTCCTATGACGTGACGTGAGCGGCACGCAAATGGCTGGTCGCCTCGCATACAGACCACCTTCCTGAAGCCTTCTATGCACAGTTGACGTTGACACCAACCTTCCGGTGGCTGCAGCAAGGGAGGATCTAAGAAGAGTCGGAGTAGCGGTTCTATTCCTGCGTCCACATAATGTCAAATATCGGTCATCGGGCTCGTTGCAGCAGTTGACCGTCCTTGTGTGAACCTCCTAGATGCCGAATCTGTGGTTTGAAATCGCCTCCAAAGTCTATGAACCACAGAAGGATTCACATTTAGCCATCTGGCCACTTCTGTTTGACTTTATCCTGCCTCTAGTCTCCCAATGGCTCTCCATCGTAGTTCTGCAGGCAAATGATGCCTGGAGGTCATTGTTACGAATTGACTATCTCAGATTTCTGATGTCACTATCACAGTGAAATATGTGGGCTTGCTCTCAAACATGGACTTCTCGCAGATGATGTATTCCGAGTGCAGCGCCACCAACTTGCATATTTCAATTTTATTCAGCTAATCTTCCTTGGCAACCATATTCAAATTTTACACGGTTTGGCTTATTTTTGAGGGAGTTATCCCTATTTTTGTGATTTTTCCTTAATTTAAAATAACTAGTGTATTAGTCCTTTTTGGCGAGAAATATTTTGGCGACATTTGGGTGTGATAAATGAAAAATTAGGATAACCTTGTTATTTATGGTAACCCTAAATACTAAGATGAAAAAACATGCCGCCATTTCTGTCCACGTCACTTTAACGAATTTGGTAGGTATCAGAGCCTTAATGGCGGGAGGGATAAATTGCATGTATTTTTTTAAGTTATTTCTGTGTTAAGAAAGCACAACTTTAAAAATATTTTTTAAAAGCCAAAATTTGATAGTTAAAACTGATGCTTTTAATATTACATCACACGAGTCTTGACATTTTTTTTCATTTGTCAACTCTGCATGTTATAAACTCCATCCCCCCCAAGAAAAAAACACATTTTTAGTAACGAGGTAAACACTTGGTGTTTCCTTTGCTAAGGAACCACATGCAAATTTAGACTTCTTACATGTTTCTTAACATGGTCAATGATCAAAATAACCATGGTCTAAAAATATTTTTTTGCCTCATTTCTTAAATTAGAACTACAGGGATGTGTAATTGCAAGCATTCATAGATCAAAATCAGGTTTCAATATTGCTTTTATAACATTTTTATAATTTGTCTGACTATAGAAAATATAATGTTGCTTAGAATTTGGAATATATTGCTTATTATTTTAGAGTTCTCAAATTTTGCAAATCTCATGATCTAATAACTGTATATGAATAACCTTCACTGAGTATTATTACTTTTTATTAATAGTATGTTGATACACAGTCGACTTTTTATTTAAAATTTTATGCAAATTTACTACATTACTTAAACATTTAATTTAACCGAAATATGAATTATTTGTAAAAAACTCTATAATAAAAGTAAGAGTAACTGTTTCTGATTTACATTACATGTAAGGAAAACCACAGAAGCTCCCATATAGCCAGCCTGAACTATCAGCGTTCAGTGGTTTATCACTTCAAAATTAGTGGATTCCAACGACTGTTTGAATCTTTCACAGAAATCATCAGTTATGATAATTGTTGCTGTGTGTTATAACCATTGGTACACAATTTACTCATTATGATAATTTAACTTTAGCTTTTAAATTACAATCATAAATTACTTGTAATAAATTGGATGCTTAACAAATACACACTTCTTAATATTTTTACTATTTACAAAATTTTATTCATAAAAAATATTTCTAACACTGTTACAAAATTGGCTCGTTATAATTTAATTTGATTTCCTTCAATTTGAAATACTTTTTTATTTCCTTTTAATAACAGAATCTAAGAAACTAAAGTAACATATACTAGCTTGAAATGCACTTATTAACCTTTTGTAAATTTCATTATTCATAGCATAGAAATTAACCTTTTGTAAATTTAAAATATTAGCTAAATACTAATATAATATAATATAAATATTAACTAACTACTTAAAATATTAATGCAATCAAAATTCGTTAATCCGGACTCGTCGGGACTTCGGCGATTCCGGATTATAGATCATCAGTTTAAATCTGGTAAGATGGCATGCAGAAATTCTAAAATTAAAAATGAAACCGTAAATTTATGATGAAATAAAGAACAATTATGATCTAAAGGGTATCAAAATTTACAAAAAAAAAAAAAAAAAAAAAAGCTTAATATTTATTTTTTACTTTATTAAACATTTCTTTCGATGTAAGCTGTTTAAGTTGCTTCGTTTTTTATGTGATAATACATTCTCTTTAATTCTATAAACAGACATAATTTCTTCTTCAGTTACATAGTTCCGCTGTTCAAGTCCTATAATTGCTGTGTCGAGAATACCGACTAATTTGTCAATCGAAATTTTTTCGTTTTCAATAACCTCTGTGTCACTTTCTTCACCATCGGAAGCGAATTATAATGACGAGGAATTTGATTTAAATCATATCAAAGACGGAGTATATCGAGATGAAATACTACATTTAGTATGGAATTGTAAGCCAAATAAAAGAAAAACATCTGCCCTGAAGATAACGATAGTGCTGACAGATCAACTACTAATAATACCAATACAATGCTACTAATAATTCATTGCACGCCGCGGCGAGTGGGAAGATTTCGTCTTCCATGGGCAAGTGGGTTTCACTTTTCTAGATGGTCAGCAAGATTCATCTAACAAACACTAGGAGACCTTATACCATTTGCAGAAAACACTGGAGGACAGAATTGGATGTACCAGCACAGAAAATGTCACTGTTCTTGAGTGGCCACCAACGAGCCCCAATTTTAAGCCAATCGAGAAAGCAGCCTTGAGAGTGTTCGGTACGATGTGGAGCTAAGAGTTATTACAAAAAATTAATTCTCTTGATAAAGAAATGCATACCCAGCATCGTACAGAATAATGGGGCGACTTTGAAGTATTAAGTAATCTGAAGTTTACGGCTTAATTTGACTCAACACGGGAAACTTACCCAGCCCGGACACAGGAAGGATTGACAGATTAAGAGCTCTTTCTCGATTCTGTGGGTGGTGGTGCATGGCTGTTCTTAGTTGGTGGAGCGATTTGTCTGGTTAATTCCGATAACAAACGAAACTCTAGCCTACTAAATAGACGCTCCGATCCTTCGAGTCGGACGTTCTTCTTAGAGGGACAAGCGGCACGAGACAGAGCAATAACAGGTCTGTGATGCCCTTAGATGTCCGGGGCCACACGCACGCTACATTGAAGGAATCATCGTGTGCTTTCCCTGTCCGACAAGACTGGGTAACCCATTGAACCTCCTTTGTGCTGGGGATAGGGGCTTGTAATTGTTCCCCTTGAACAAGGATGATCACAAGTTTTTAAAATGTTAATATTCTATAAACTTTTGGGATGCATATTCTGTGCTTTTATTTTTTTCTAAAATACAAATTGATATTTTAGTTGAATATTTACTGGAATGCAAGTCAACTGTGATATCAATAAAATGTATTTTATATTTCTGTTCCTTTCCATTTTTCCAAAACATGTTATATAGTACAAAAGGCTATAAAGTTTAAGGCTATAAACTTTTCGGACAATGTATATTATAACACACGCTGAAGTAACAAAATCTGATTTTATGAGCATAAACTTGAATATTTCGATTATTCAAAAAATACCATTCAACTATTATCTGAGATAGCTATAGTACAAATGACAAATACTGAAGGCAAATTAAGCAGTATTTTAGAGATATAGTATTTTTTCCTAAAGCAAAAGCCAATGCTTATAACTAATATTTCTCAGTCATCCAAATAAAAAGACACCAATGCATGTCAGCAATTCTGACCTTGGGGGGAGGGAGTGACTGTAAATCAAAAGACAGCCTACTGTTACAAAAATGAAGAACTACACAGATTTTACAAGTTTTGCAAGGTAATTATAAAAATAACAAAGACAGTTTAAAAATTGCCATTAGAGTAAGAATCTGTTGTGGTTCAGGTTCTAGGAAGACTCAATGGCCTATAAATAAGCATGCCACAAAAATCAGGTCAAAATTACCAATTTTATACATGATATAAAATGGAATAAATAGCTTGTAATAAAAAATTACAAATAAAAAAAACTTTTTAATGTATTTAAAAACATAATTTTAAAAGAAAATAAGGTATATTTATGTTTCCAGATCTGGAGTTTATCATAATGTATTTTCCTTTTTTTAAATTAAGGATAAGCGTACTGTAAATTAGTGTACTGTCTCATAACTTAGGACACAGCATCCCTTTCTCCTCATCCTACAAACCTCCATACTACACAAGAGGTGGGAATCATGCAAAAGCCACCTTGCAGAGCACTGTAGTCTATTTTACTATTACCAGTCCCACAATTACCTGGCGACAGACCTTTTTAAATCACCACTCAAACCAGGCCTGCAGAGTTACCTCACAGTTCCAGAAATTCATGGCAGGTAGTGGCTATGTTACACTGAAGGTTTCACTGGTCACCACCCACCAGTACTACACAGGCTGCCTTACAATGGGGATTTACACAGACTACAGACCTGATGAAGCAGCCAATACAATGCTACTAATAGTGCAGACTGGGGACTTACAATCACCAGACCTGCAAAAAGTTGGGATAAAGCCCTTCTCCCATAGTCCCTTGTGAACCACCAGGATCATGTTTTTATCCTCTGGTGCAGAGACTGTCAAAGTACAGATCTCACTCAGTACGATAAATGACTACCGTGTGTGTGTGGGGGGGGGAATTAAGGATAAATCAGGTCATAGGTTACACAATGAATAAAGTTACATTTTGTGTTACAGAGATATATGGCAGTGTGAACCTTCTCTATTGCCATGGTACTGTCTATTACCACAACACACATGCACATAAAACTTGGGTTAATATTTTACTACTATATGCTTTAATACAATGTTTTGACTGTTGTTAATGAATTGATTATGGCAAGGCAAGAACTATCTGCCTAAGCAAAGAATATTTTTGTAGAGTATTTCCCAAGGGAAACTAAATCGTATTCCTGGTGCTTTGATGGAAAGAAAGATAATCATTGCTCAAAACATAATACAATACATGAAACATTTCATATTCTCTCAAGAATTAGATTAAAATACCAAAACCACTTACTCTTATAGGTGCAAGACACAGAATGAGATAAAGAGCTATAAATGCACATGAAAAAAGAAGTACAATCCTCTATCTGGCTTTCTACCAGGCTAATCAGCAAAGTTCACCCTGCATTTTTAATGTTTTGAAAGCACATTAGCATTTGAAAGAAAACTGAAATATATTAAGAGATTTTATTTTGCTATTTATTTATATAGCCTCTCATCTCACTTAATAAAGCTTTTTCTATGCCACAAAGACATTTTAAAATTTTTATCATAAAATTAACAGCTAAATTATCAAATTAACAGCTAATTCATCTGTTAATGGCCAAAGCTGGACATACAAAATACAGCAAAATTCTTTTGAAAATTTAAAAAAAAAAAAAAAAAAAAATATGAAGCATCAAATGCAACTCTAAAATTTTTGGTTACTCTGTAGTAGCTCCAACAGGAAAGTAGGAATATGGTAACAACATTCCAAGATGACAGCTGTTAGAAACACATTGACTGCTTCATTACCTGCCATTCAAAAGCATTTACTGCCATAGCCTGAATGTGTAACATTAAGAAGCACAGCTATATTATTAATGCTGGCAAAAGATTGACTCCAAAGCTATTACTGACTACTCAACAACAGCTAATAGGAGCAGCTAGTACAAACAATTGAGCAATACTTGTTTGTGTGTTTGGCCTCATGAAAACAACACTGGAATATCTTAGATCAATTCCATATAACACGAAATTATGAATTAGGGAATAGAGTATTCGTGCTATACAATCGTGTGGCTGCACAATACTGCTCACCCATATCACTGCACACCAGAGTACAGCTAATACACTTGAAATTACCACTTAAATAAAAAAATGCCTATGTCCTCATCATCATTATTTATCCTTTGGAACACTAATGGCCTTTAAAAACACTGATGACATTAAGTGCTAATTTTATCTCTTGAAGGGCATCTTTCAGGAAGAACATTCAGAAGAAGCGAAGAATAACACCAAAATTTAGTTACACCTTCATGAAAACAGGTTTTTTTTTAATCATTTGTATCTTCACAATAAACATGGTACAAAATGTGTACAATCTACTTTTCACTTGTCCGTGGAGTTTTATGCACTATCAGTTCTTTATATTATTTCTTCATATCACCTTCAGTTTGCCATGGCAAAAACATGGGCATAAACAGGATCCAAGCTAGGGTGCAGCAAATGATCTTAGACCAAGAAAACTACACTACGATATGACCTTAACTCGTGAATGAGTGGTCGAGTGGATAAAACTGCCGAGCACTGCTAATTTAAAGTGAAAATAATTTTTCTTGTTTTAATTAGTAAAATTTCAACTTATTTATGTGAACAAATGAATATACACATGAGTGTTCACAAAATATAAAATTTTACTTATGAATCCTTAGGACCTGGTCATGGTAATTAACCACATATATTTCAGTGTATCATTTAAAAGTTTAATATAATAAAAATAAGATACATATGTAAATATATATACACACACAAACACGTGCACAAGTGTGCGTGTGTATTTTTAACAATCAAAATATAATACAACAGGACTTAAAATTTAGACCTTCCAATGCCCATAAACCATGTTTCATTACTTTAATTACTATTACATGTTTGTAAAACTAGATTTTGCCTAAGAGAAATTAAGTGCAAGATATTGCATCAAATCTTGCTTTGCAAAATTTTGCTACACTTTATTCCATACACAGCTTTCAAAATGTATATCGTAAGTGGCAATACCTGAGGAATGCTTTGTACAGAGCCTTGTATATTGCTTGCACTACATAAACCTGCATCATTTGCCATGCTGCAACTTGTAGAAGTCAACTGAGCTAATTTCAACTGTAAGCTACTCAAATCAGGAACTACTGGCCTCTGCTGTTGGGAATGCTGAGTACTTCCACCGCTGCTACTGCTACTACTAGATTAATAATTAAATTAAAATGAATTTAAATAGAATAATTTAAAAACAAATTAACAATAGCTAGTACATCATTCTTAAAAAAGAGAGAGAGAGAAACAAAGAAATAATATACTAGACGTCTTTTGAAATAAAATGTTCTAAATAAATAAAAAAAAGAGAGGCTAGAGAGAATGGATTTAAAACAGACGGGGAGAAAAGTGTGAATTAATTGAAAATTTTTCATCAGAATGCACATGAGAAATACATAAGCTTGGAAAACTTTCACATATTAAGATGTTGTTCTCAGAGACAAGTTAAAAAAGTATATAAATTTTGTACAATTGAAAGGGATAAAAAGTTACTGAAGGCATTCATGTGAGTGCATCACATCTAAAAACTATAAACTCCAATAGCTTTCTAACATACATAATTTAAAAGTTGTTTAATAACAAGAATCTATAATTTTAATCTGAAATAGGTTAGTGCATTCTTTTTACCTTAAATCTTGAACTCTTTTTGCCTGGTCAGACATTAACTGACATGCAGACATAACACTTTGATTACCAAGTTGTGGAGTGTCAGGCATTTTAGTAAGGATGGAAGACTGAGTTTCAGATGCTACAACAGGTATGTCAGGAGATGTGTGACTCACAGGTACATTCACCTGAAAACATGATATAAATTACTTATAATCCTACCTCTATGAGCAAATAAATGTATTCAATATTCCATAAAAAATACTTAACATTTACTTTCCTCATGTAAATAAGTAAGTAAAAACTTGACCTCATTAAATTTAAATGTAAGTAAAAAAATAATATCAAATGCATTTTTTCCCCTCTTAAATTATTAGGATGTCATGATTAAAACTTTTGAGATGGATTCAATAAAGCAAGACATGAAATGAATTAATAAGTAAGAATTCAAAAGACAAATAAAATAATTCAGTCCTTGCAAATGTAACATAACTTTTAGGCTGGGAGCTTGCTACAGGAATATATCCCCCCCCCCAAAAAAAGGCAGGTTGGTAGAATGACTAAAAAGCTGAAATGGCTCACAGTCTTATCTTGACAGATTTATACCTTTTGGTGGACTTATCCAAAGTTTTTGAATTTTATTATGCAAAAGATACTCAATACTTCTGTTGTTGTTGTTACTTGTGCTCACTTGTCTGAGAGTAACATCAGCCCAAGTCCATGAAATTCCTTGTAGCAAGAAGTGCACGAGATATGCCTGTCGGCAACTGCTTGAGCACCTTAGGCCCATATTACACATACATTTGTTTCACATGAACAACTGCTTTGGATAATTTTTCTGCCTGATTTAATATTGAAAGAAAAGACACACGATTTTTCCTTCCTTTCGAAAATAATTGCAAGTTGTTCATTATCAACCAATCAGCTATCAGCTTGTTTGTAATGGAGAATCAGTTTAGCCAGTGTTAACCCCAAAGTGATCTGTGGTGATTGGCTGTTGTGACGAAGCAGAAAAATTGTTACAAAGAGTTGCTCTTCTGAAACAAACAGATCTGTGATAGCAGCCTTACAGACTTAATTCTTCTAAAAATGTTCAGCCAAACTCAAAAATGGCAGTTACACAAAAGTGGTTGAAATTGAAACACCAGATGTGGAAAACTAAAAAGCATTTGCAAATTATGGCCAAAATCAAGTACTTTAAAGTATCATAAATTGTCTAACAAAATCGCAGATTTGTGTATAAAACCTGATTATCTGTTGATTTTTTTCTCATAACGCAACTTAAAAAGCAGGATATTTGATGTAAATTTGTGATTGGAGGCATTAAATCAAAAAAATTTCTTGCTGAAAACAGACTGAACAGTAGTGAACTGGGCTTGAGTGCCATTAAAACCACAGCTTAATCTCAAGATTTTAGTACTGTAGACAATTTATGGAGTTAATATTCAGTAACAGTTACATAACAGAAATATTCTAATGAAACTGAGCTTGTAGAAATATTGTCCCAAATATTGCAGAAATATCTTTAAATCAAATTCCATCACACTGTAAAAGGTCATGAAAGACAATGTCATGCAAGTGAGTACTAAACAAATGAGTTGGAAATACAAAATTTACAGACTACCTGAATATTTTCATTGACTTCACAATTCTTTATGAAATCAGTTCAACTCTAATCCTAATTACTGTATTTAAAATTTTCATTTAATTTTGCAAATCAAATGCATTTTTATGATTTTTTAAAATTTAGAAACCAATTTACAGATTCATTCGACTTAAATATTTTGGTCCCATTATTAAAACATTTTATTAATTTGCTGTCAAAATTTGTTTTCATATGAATGTATCTAAATAAGTATTACACCATAGAACAGCATATAAGGAACAACTGCTTAACCCACTATTTTCAGTTTTTATGATTCATGGATGCCAGACACCTTGCAGAATGTTAAAAAAAAATTAGTACCTATAAATTCATATATAAACATATATACTCTAGTTGCTTTTTAATCCCCTTCAAAGAATGCAACAAAATAAAAATATGCTGAAAGATTTTCATGGTTCCCACTTTCTTATATAACAACCTTTGTCAAATGAATTTAATGATGAATATTTTATATATGCATACTTTACACAATTATTTGCGTATTTATAATGGCCAAAGACTCTTTGATATTAATTTAATTGTTAAAATTGTTCAAACTGACGAGTGTCTCAGGAGAATGGTGAAATGTTTAATAAAAGGGTTCTCAACTGGGGGGACTCCCCCCTGCTGGTTGTTAAGTATTTAGTTTTAGTTTACAAACATGAAAAACTACTTTTAATCGAGTTTTCATTTTTATTAATATTTTACTTTTTCTTGCTTACATTATAGATACGTGTAAAAATAATCCAAATTAACGTATATGAATTTTTTTAGCCTTAAAAAAGACCAAATTGATCATCCAGCAATGGTGCATGGCCAAAAAGGACTGAGAATCATTGGCTTAATATATCAAAATATATTTTTCTTAAAAGGTACACTGATACACTGGGAAAATAAACTCACTAAAATGCTACTAACCAGTGCATTTCCTTGATGCCCAGGAGTCAGTTTGCTTAAAGGTATAGTAACAACAGACATATCTGATTTTTCTTGAGTGTCACTTGTTTTATGATCTGAAGCTGAATGCACAGCCTGGATATAAAAGAAACAAAAAATATAAAATTTTCCAGAATTTATATAAAGCAAAATATTTATAAATCAATAGGAGTTAATTTGAAAACAAAGATAAAAATATTTTTTTAAGTGACAGCATTGTATAAAAGCATGTGCAACTAAAAAAGCTTAAAAGATGAAAAACTTTATAATAATTAAAACTGATTTAATGCATAAAAAAACTTGCCTGTTATTTTCACACTGACAAAAACTCAAAAAGAAATATTCCAAAGAATTTACTATATTACGACTCAGGCAGTAACTTTACCGTGATGCAAATTTTACATTTTCAAAATTTCATGAATATGAAATAAATCCACAAATTTTGGATTTTCCTATTACTTTTTTAATTTCTGCTGTTACATAATTTTGATATTTAAATGATTTTTACATTATTTGCTTAAAAAAATTTCTGTAAAAATATACTGCAAAGTGATCCTGTTCCAAAATTTAAGCCAGAAGTTACACCTTTAATTTGCTGAAGTCTTCCTAGAATTCTGAAATAAATCAAATGCCATTTTCAAAATTTACATAAAGTCACACTTAGTGACCTGTCAATACTGAAAAACTTAATTCATTAATATGGTAATTTTGATTTAAAATAACAACGTTGAATACATTACTAATATTGATTTATAAACATAAATTACAATTAAAATATAAAGTTTATTGATTACTTATTTGCACTACTGCCTCATATGTAAATCTTTGACCATAGCATTTTAATGCCATATTAAACTCAGCCTATGAAAGTTTTGCAAATTTTCATTACCTATTTGCAATTACCCCCACGAATTATTATTCCCTTGTCCCGCGATAAAAATTACTGCCCTAACTACGTTGTGATAAAAAATAGGCTGAACATGTTTAAAAAAAAAAACTACCATTAATACTGCTTATAAATAAAAATGCTGAAATATGTGATATATAACTGGCAATGGAAAAATTCATGGTTAACATTATTGATATTAATACAATATTTAGCTTTAGCTACTGAATACATCAAAGCACATTACAAACAACCTAAACGTGTTTTCATGAGATGCAAAAGTTATTAGCAAGAAAATTTGATTTTATCCTCATTTATGAAAATTTTAGTTTAAAAGGCCTTTGGATTGAAACTTATGGTCTTAGTTTCAGCCCCCCCAAAAAATTATACTGAAAAAATTTTAAAATATCTTTAGATTAATTCAAAATCAAAGGAAATTAAATATCAGATTGATATCAAAACACAATCAATGTTACATTACACGCAACAATGGAATCCAACATGATGAGTATTGCATGCTATCAATCATTATTCTTTTTAGGAAAATATTAACATAAGGACATTTCAGAGAGTCCTTGTAAAATAAGTGTTCAGCTAATAATTACTCAACCACCCAGTGTCATGCACTTGCAACTAGACAAGCAAGCTAATACAGGCAGCGTTACAGAAGAAGCACAGCTGAGCAGCAACACTAACCTGCCATAGAAATCCAGGGAGCAGCATGTGTGGGATTTCACAACAACAAACATGATGAGTCATCGTTATCAACCTTTTCCAACGACCAGTGTGTTTGAAAGCAAGTCTTTTGCCCTTAGTTTTCTTAATATTTTAAAAATTAAATTTAAAGAGAGTTTATAAAGAGCAAGACACTTACTGAACAATGTTAGCTTTGTTAGATCATAAAAATCTGTTTAAAGCAAACTGACAATGTTACACATCAAAAGTATTTTGTAATACCATTATGTAGTTTAATAGCAAAGAAAATGTTATCTCTACAAGCTGACAAAGGAGCATTAATCCCCTAATGTATATGAAACCAATAGAAAAGCTATATATAATATAATATACAAAATGCGCACTGCTAATTTCATGCAAAAGTACACTAATTTATTATAATATAAATGTGCATATGTATTAAATAATAAATGCTTGTACATCTTCATCGAGAATACTAATGTGTTAAAACACATACAAAACAAATGATGCAATAAAAACATTTTGAAGCTGTTAAATAATAAATTCTAGGATTAGTATATACAGTGCACTCTCAATTTAACATGGAGAATTAAAGCTATGTCTCACTGAAAGTGAAGGGCTTCCCAATGAAAAAAAAACTAGTATTACACACAAAAATTACATATGCTTCACAGTTCATAGAATATACTTTACAGTGAACTTCAAACAGAATTTTAATGCATTTCAGTCAAGATATCATGTCAGTAAAAAGCAACAAACAAAACAGAAAATTACTAATACAACTGCAGAAAAATTAAGACATACACTACCATTAATGTAATGTCGCTATATATATACAGTATTCATAACATAGGGTACATAATTAACATGCAATGAATATAATGCCAGTCTCAATATTTCATAAAATTGTTTAAAAAATTTGAACTTATTAGCAGCTATTTGCCTTTATATATAATATATATATATATATATAAACGTGTTAAAAATTTATTCGTGTGAATTTAATGTAAGAAAGCGACATTACTCTCCTGTCCCCCTATAACAGGGCTTCTGTGACTGAAATGCATTTGTTACCAAAATCTTAAATGCGGGCTTTTGGTATTCAAGTTGCTAATCAGTAAAGTCCCTTTTTTTATATATATAGTTTTAGATCAGAAATTTAGTTCAACCACCTAAAAAGCTCTTGAAATACTGAATTTCAGATATGTCAATATTCCAGATAGTTGAGCGTATACAAAAAAAGGGGAGTTATATAAGAAAAGCCAAATTAATGGGGAAAATTTCTGATCTAAAATTATATATATATAAAAATAGACTTTACTGGTTAGCAAATTGAATACCAAAAGCCCGCATTAAAGATTTTGGTAACAAATGCATTTCAGTCACAGAAGCCCTGTTATAGGGGGACAGGAAAGTAATGTCACTTTCTTACATTAAATTCACATGAATAAATTTTTAACACGTTTTTATTTTTAATCAATAATGTAATCACCCTCGTTATCAACAACCTTTTGCCATCTAGTGTGCAGATTTTCAATCCCCGGACCGATATAAATCAATTGGTTTTTGAGTAAAATATCTCAAGATGGCATTTTGGACATCATTCAAATTTTTTGGCTCTACGAAAATGTTGTAGGGATTGGAATAAATGGAAATCCGAGTGTGCGATATCGGGCGAGTATGGTGGGTGATGCAGCACCTCCCATCCCAATTCATTCATTTTTCCCAGTGTCCCGTCTTGTACAGTGCGGTCTTGCATTGTCATGTTGCAGCCTTTTCTATTGATAATTGCCTGATATTTTTCGATTAAGGATTGGTTCACTCGATCCAATTGTTCACAGACCTGCATTGTCCAGGTTTCAGCAATTCAAAATTAACAATTCCGCGAATACTCCACCAAACACACAGAAGCACCTTTTTGGGATGTAAACCCTATTAAAACTGCCTTTTGCATTTTGGCTTACCACATAGGACCCATTTTTTGTCTCCAGCAATCAAATGACCAAAAAAACGGTTCTGTATGGTGCCGTTGAAGCAATACGTTGAATGTGATGGATCGGTTGGCTTTGTTCTCTTCAGACAGATTATGGGGGGACTCAAACACCTACTTTGCTTATTTTTCCATTCCACTTTAAATGTTCTTGGATGGTCGACCAAGGTTGGTTAAGAGTGTTTGACATGGATTTGCTTCCACTTCTGCCCTTAGCATATTGTTGTTGACATATGCAGAAACGACATTATTTTCCGGTCCCCCTATTACTTAGATTTTTTTTAAATCCTGCTGAACATGCAAGCTGGCGAAGATGTCGATCATTCTAGTAGAAGTTTAGATGAACAGATCATAATTTGTTTAGACAGAAAATAAAGGGATATACAAATTATGGATATAGCATATAAAAAACTTAAATCACTTATAATACTTCATGTCATATCTCCATTGTTTATCTGTTTTCAAAGTCACATATGACATTTTTAATGCCCAGAACCTGTAAATATGAAAATACTCAATTTCATGCAGCCCCAAATATTAATCTTTTAAAATGCAAGGGGGACAGAAAATAAAGGGATATACAAATTATGGATATAGCATATAAAAAAACTTAAATCACTTATAATACTTCATGTCATATCTCCATTGTTTATCTGTTTTCAAAGTCACATATGACATTTTTAATGCCCAGAACCTGTAAATATGAAAATACTCAACTTCATGCAGCCCCAAATATTAATCTTTTAAAATGCAAGGGGGAAAACTGAACTTATATCTTCTTTGCAAAAATTAAACCAGCTCATCAAGAATTAATTTGATTTACATAAAACTCAAACCAATTTTTATGACTGTGTTGTGACAGCATGATCACCCATTTTTGGGGCTAAATCATACAGTTTGGTGACAATGCATATGTGTTAATATAATTACGAGTTGTATATTACCTTTATAAATCTCTTATTCACTAAATTTATTTGGGGAAAATTTTTCTAAAACTCAAATATTCCAGTTAGTTGAGTGCCAGATATTTGCACTTTTACTATATATACATGTTTGAGACTTCTGCTTTATATTTTAGGTAAGGATTTCAAAACCTCCATATGATCATCAACTTTCCCTAATTTTAATACACCTTGTCAAGTACTTACCAGAATACAACTAATGAAAAGGAATGAAATGCACAGCATCCATTTTATGAAATTATGCATTAAAGCTGAAGAAAAGAAAACCATAATGCAGAGAAGACCAGGAAAAGGAAACACAGCAGAATATGTCTGCCAATTCTATCTCACTAGTAGAGAGCTATGCATCTTATTCATATGCAGACCCACTCTTTTATTTCTAACCATAGTAATACAAGACTACATAATTCATGCACGATTTAGAAAATACTCATTCAATACTCAAAATATCAAGCAGAATTATAGTAAGGAAGTAAAGAAATATTTTTCACTTTGCACACAAATGTTATCCAAACCATACCTCAAAATATTTCCAAATATCATTAATATATGAAGAATAATC